TATAGGACGTAGTGGTTCTGGCCTTCTCGGTAGAGGCCACCCGACCCGACCAATAAAAAGTGATTTGAAGCCGCCGCCAATATGTTGGGTCAAGTTGGGGTTATGATTTTGATCCACGACCCGCCTAACTTGAAATAACCCAACTCAAAGAAAAAAACTAAGAAAAACGAGAAATAGTCCACCCAACATGACCTACCAATACGTCGGGTCAAGTTTGGGCCAACGATTTTGGTCCCCACAATTTTCTTAGTCCAAACTAACCCGACGTCTAATCAAACCTAGTTATGGGGAACCTACGGAATCCACAAAATTAAGCACATTCATGAGCTAGTGTGCTTGCATCTCTACCCCCCCTATTCCCCAGACCACTCCTTAAGGGTATCCACATCATTACTCTTGCACGCCAAAGTGTTGTGTGGAATTTTTTACTGACTTGGTATAGATGAAATTAACAACATATTTCTCAATCTTAGAACATACCGCAGTTCCATCGAGCCACGAAGATGCCATTTGAGTTGTGCGTCCTCGCATGGTGGAGAGGCCACCGACGAAGATCTTCCACCGCTCAAGGACTCCTCCATGTCACAACTGCTAGATCCGTAAAAGCAAGATTGCAAAGCCTGATTGCGAGAGAGATGGTTAGCTAGAGGCACTGTGGTGCGGGCAATGTTCGCTTCACATGATGTCCCCCTCTTATGTAGGGGTTCTATGGGTCCCAAGGTGTATAAAAAAATCAAGAATACGTTACTGCTATATTTTGTGTATCTGGCATTAGCTAGCAAAAAAAACGGAAGTCGAGCAGAAACTGAAATAATATGCTAAACATATTCCTTTTCATCAAACCATCCTTTTGTTATGGTTCGCTCAGTCCACATATCTAGAAACGTGTATGTCTTGATCTTACTAACTTTATATCAATTTGCGGAAACATCAAAAGAGAAAACAATGGAACTGTTTTGTTTGGAACCATGATACCCACACTCTTATCGAAGGGTTGGCAGGGCCGCAATGTCGAAAGAAATCACAAAATAGATTACCGCTATACTATGCATGGATTGCATTAGCTAGGTAGCCAAAGGAAAATCGCGATAACATATGAAACATCGTGCCTTTTCATCAACTACTATTTTGTATGGTATGGCGTGTAAGTGTGATACTAGGAACACACAAAAAAGTAAGGACTCCTTCCATGTTACTAGATCTGTGAAAATAAGACTACAGAGCCTAGCTGCGAGAGGGGTGAATAGCTGAAGGTACGATGGCATGGGCAACGATAGGAACAAGAATAGCTAGTTATATTAACGAGCCAAAGCCTAAGAAGAAGGATATAACACTAAGGCTCTGTTTGTTTGTGTTTCTTGAGAGCTTTTGGAACTTTCAAAAGCCAAAAAGCTCCTGAAAACCCAAAAGCAAGAAGCTCAATATAGTGAGATTGGCTTTTGGTTTATGAGAGTTGTTTAACTCTCAAAAAGTTTAAAAGCTATCTAAAAATAGCCAAAAGCTCAAACAAACAGGGTCTAAGGAATGTCTTTTTGGAATGATGCTCCCCTCCTGTCTTTTTTAGGGGGTTCGGTGGGCCCCATGGCATAGAAATCAACCAAGAATTAGTTAGTGCTATATTTTGCAAAGCTAGCATTAGCTAGCAAACGAAACGTGAGCAAAAACTGAAATAATATGTCTTTTCATTAAACCATCTTTTTGTTACGGTTCGCTTAGTCTAGATACTTGCAAATTAAAGGTGTATGTGTTGGACATCCTACTTATACGATTTGGACATGGAAAGAAGAAAAACAGTAGATGTTATTTTGTTTTTGGCACCACGGGTGTAATCTTCTTTCCATGTCCAAATCGATCTTTATGTCCATGGCTCACCGATCTTATATGCTCATTGGTGTTCTACTTCTATCCTATTCTTTTTTCCATATTTGTTTACACCCTTCCTTCTTATTGAATTGTAGTAGGAGAAGAACATTGAGGTTGTGCAAAGCGAACCACAGATAGACTCTGCCTTTGACCTCTTAGAGGTGGTGGCTTGATGTGTGCGGTCATGTTTGGTCCCAAGGCCAAAGATTAGCCTAAGGGGCTATTTGGTTTTCTCGGAATGCACTATGAACAATTCCAGCTCCTCAAGATTAGTATAAATTATTGAATCATTTCAGCTAGGAATTATTCGTGGGTCCTATTCCTGATCAAACGAACAGGCCCTAAAGGATAGACGGATGATCCGGAACGTCGATTTTGACCAACAGAGAAACTCTCTTTGTTTTAATATTAGGGAGAGAAGAGAAGCATTCATGCATGCCGCATAGTATTAGATTTGTAGTAGCAAGTGTATTGTTGCTTACAATTTAGTCCGATTTAGCCCTCTAAACAATACCATCAACTATAAAATTATAGTTCGCGTTGAGAGAGCTACAAAATGTCGTAAACATCTGAGACTTGTTTAAAAAGTTTAAAATTTTGAATGTAAAAATCTAATAATTTAAAACAAATATTCAAACATATAAACGATTTCAGATAAATAAACTTTGTAAGATCGCATTGAGAGCTACAACTTTGATATAAAGTATGCCAATGTTCGAGGCCTTTTGAAAAAAATAAAAAAATCTCGAAATCCAAAATTTAATAACCCGAAATTCATATTAGAGTCATTCTAATAAAAGTAGATAAGTCATCAACTACAAGGTCGTAAATCATGTTGAACTCTATACTTTTGACATAGAGTTTGTTTCATTCTGACGCCTTGTTTAGTTGGAGGCCAAATTCCAAAAAGTTGCATTTGTTTCATTACATCGAACTGTACCGTGCATATATAAAAAAGAAAAACTAATTGCACAGTTTGGTGGGAAATTACGAGACGAACGTTTTGAGCCTAATTAGTCCATGTTTGAATACTATTTGCCAAATAAAAACGAACGTGCTACAGTAACCCCAAAATCCAAATTCATGGAACTAAACAAGGGCTTACTGCCTATAAAACAGAAAAAGAACGATGGTATATGTGAGAAAGGGAATTTTGCATGCGAATGCGGTGCGAAGTACAACAGTCAGATATCACACTGATACATGAATTTTGCATGTCGAAGCGCGAGGGCCAGGGCGCATGAGCAAACCGTAGTACCTAGCGCGTGTTTAGTCGGGCGAATTTGGGAATTTGGCTACAGTAACACTTTCGTTTTATATTGACAATTAATGTTCAATCATGGATTAATTACGCTCAAAACGTTCGTCTCGCAATTTCCAACCAAACTGTGCAATTAGTTTTTTTTCTCACATTTAATGCTTCACATACGTATCGCAAGATTCGATATGATGAATCTGTAACACTTTTTGAGAATTTAGGGTTGGAACTCAACACGCGCCTACCATACGTATCCAGCCACTGCCTGACTGCCCTGCCCCTGACGCTACAGTGTTGTGTGGGCCCACCTAGTGTAGCTTTACACAACGTTCACATATGCGGCCCAGGGCCCAGATGGCTTCGCGTTTCAAATCGATCGGGAGCCTGCGTTTCCCTCCCTCCCTCCCTGCGTTGTCCGCAGCGCTGCACGCAGGAGGAGCCGCGGCTAACGGAAGCAAGGCAGCTGTTGGTCTATGACCATTTACATTTATTTATTTACACTATGTGCATGTTTTTTGGAAGCTTGAAAAACTTGCCTGGCCTTTATAAAAAAAACTTGTCTGGGCCGATATGGACTCTAGGCCACAATTTGAGAAGCTTATAAAATTGTTTGTTTAGCCAGGTAATACCTCTCAGGTTTCAATCAAACACGCCATATATATTAGTATCATAAAAAGGAGACATAAAAGATAAAGCCACCAGACAACTTTCTTGTTCAAGAGGGCTACATTCCTCGCCTACAAGAACTCTTGGGCCTAGTCATTCATGACAAACTTCTTAGGCTGTGACAACCAAGTAAAGTGAAGTCGCAAAATCTGTGGTTCATTTTCCATGTTGCCATTTTTTTTGCAAAATGAGGGGAAAAAGTGGAGAACAAACATGGCCATTTTTTCTTCCTCAAATGCATTTACCTTATCTAAGATCTGAGATCTTCTCGTAGGGAGACGAAAAGAAACTAGCCTAATAGGTAGAGATGGTTGTACCTATTTAGACTCTGGCTATTTTACTTGTTAGTTGCTGTAGCTACTCCGTATTAGCAAATGTTGTAGTTGTAACAATATTTTATCGATGAGGCCGATTTTTATAGGGCGTGGATTGGTAGGCCGAATCGGGCCATCCCCGCACCGTTTTGATGTCTGGCCTCATTCATGCGGCGTGTTTGGTTGCTCTCCTCGCACCTTTCGTCTGTATCCTTTCATTCATCTGCCCTCCTCCATCCCGCACGACTTCGTCTTCTCAATTTTCACTTCCCTCTCCATATAGGATGACTTGATTCAGGAATGGCGCCGGGACCCATGTGTCATACACTCAAAACTCTCATCCATACATGCAACCAAACAAGATCTCATCTCATACTGGACCAACAACAAAGACAACCAAACACGACTGAGTGCACAGTTTAAACATGCATCTCACCATCTTGAACCGGCTCTCCATCCCGGCTCCCCCTCATCAAAGCAACCAATCACGCCCATAGAGGATGCTTGTGGACTGAAATGAAATAAAAAAATATAAGATAGGCAACGGCACTAGAAAAGTGCCGACGTCAACCGCAAAGACACCTGGTCGTTTGAATTTCAAAACCAACCGCTCCAAGACGGTGTAGGGTTTGGATCGCTCTCAACGGCCTAATCACCCTGGCGGCGCAAAGCACAAAATGTAAACGATTCGAAAGTTTAGGGGTCTTTTCCTAAAAAATCCACTCCCCTGCCCCTCTTCTTCCGTCTCCTCCGCCTGCCCGTCTTTTTCTTCTGCTCTGCTCATCCGGTCGGGACCCAAGCCATCCGCTCCGCTCCCCCCAGAGGCCCGGACCATACCCCCAAGGGCTAGGGGGATCCGTTCGGTTCGGCCAGGGGGGAAGGACCTCTTCCGTCCGACGATGTCGACCCACGCCGCCTCCCGCCGCTCCTCCTCCTCGTCCGCGGCCGCCAAGCGCCCCGCGATGCCGGAGGGCGCCAAGGCGGCGGGCCCCGCCGCCGCGCAGGCCAAGAAACGCGCTGCGCTCGGCAACATCACCAACGTCGTCGCCGCTCCGGGGGCGAGGGCCGCCGCCGTTGGGAAGGTCGCGCCACCGGCCACCGCCGCGGTACGTGCGGCTCTCTCTGCCCGTCAGGGATCGTTTGCTGTGCGATTGGGGGAGTTTCATGCGGAACGGAAGCCATTGCGCCCATTTTTTCTCGGACCCTGGGCGGGGCTCAAAGGTTTCAATGTTTTCGTTTTTCACCTCAAAAAATGGTTTCGAATCCACGGTGGCTGCCTCTTCTTGGTCCTTCCTGAGTTGACCGACTTCTGCAAGGTCCGGGGAATTTCTTTTTTTATTTTCTTTTTTGCCACTCGCCACTACTCATTGCATCCTCTTCTTCTTTTTTATAGAACCGAGGGACATTGCATCCTCTTCTTGATACACAGTTTAGCTTAGGAGCGACACCACCACTTCCACACTCCTTGAAATCTTGAATCCTACAGATTTTGTGATCTCGTACTGTTACTCTCAATCATCTTTACAACTTTAACAGAACTCTTCTTATAAAAGCAAAAAGAAACCTGCAGCATTTCTTCCTCTTGGTGCTTTAAAGGCTACCGCACCCCCATGGACTTGTCACTACTTTTTATTTGGTTGAATTGAAATCTTGGATTCTGCTCATCACGGTAAAAAAAAAAAAACAGACCTCCGTACAAAAGAAAGACCCTTGTTTTTTTTTTTTTTTTTGAAACCGGGGAGCTTCCCCATTCCCACTCATTTTGAGCGGAAATGCGCTGGGCACCGGATTCAAAACCCCGGTGGCCGAGCTCGCGGCTCGCGATGCTGACCGACTCGCTCGTTCCCAAAGAGGCAAAGACCCTTGGTTTTTGAAACGTGGCAATCTTTTGTCTTTGTTTGCTTTGGAATCTTCTCTGGGAAATATGATATTATGTGTCTGTATGTACTCTGTACTGTTGCCATTATTTCTTTGTACCTGATTAGTGGAGCCCCAAAACAGAGGTTTGAAATAACTTGTCCCTTTTGTTCAAATCTCATGCAGAAATTGAATTCAGCTACCTCGGCTGCACCCTTAAAGAAGCCATCTTTGGCAAATGCTCGCAATGCGAGCTCCATTCGGGATTCTGCTGTGAAGTCGGCTTCCATCAAGCCAGCTCCACCAGTATCACGCCTTGACAGCAACACAAGGCAGAAGCATAATGTTCGTCTTCCTAAGGTGCCGACCACTGTCCATGTGCCAAGTCGTGCTCCTGCCTTGGTACCCTGCAGCAGTTTCGTGTCTCCTGGACGTTCAGGAGATTCAGTTTCTATTGACGAGACGATGTCGACTTGCGACTCCATGAAAAGCCCGGACTTTGAGTACATAGACAATGGGGATTCCTCGATGCTGGCTTCGTTGCAGCGACGGGCAGATGAACATCTGCGTATATCAGAGGATAGAGACGTTGAAGGTCTCCTGAGATTCATATTAACATCTCCATTTTTAAGTTTATTTTTCAAAAAAAAAAATTGTTGATTCAGTCGAGTGTGGTCTGGTTTCTTTTGCAGAAAATAAGTGGAAGAAAAATGGCCCTGCCCCAATGGAAATCGATCGCGTCTGTGAGGTTGACAGCGACTTCGAGGATCCACAGTTGTGTGCTACTCTGGCTTCTGACATCTACATGCATCTGCGAGAAGCTGAGGTGACACATTCTTTCCTGAACCCTGGTGCCAAAACGGTTTCCCCTCAAGCACGAACATAAGGAATTTTGGGTTGATTGCAAAATCTCTACATTGATGCCACTAAATAAACTAGGCCGTAGTATGCTTACTTTAGGCGTGTTTGACCATTTTATAATTGCAGTTACCGTTGTGGGGTCATTTTTTGTTTTTTTATGTTTAGTTTTATTGTTGGTGCATTAATAAAGCTCTATTTTATTCAAATAGTGTCTAACTTTGTTCTGAGGAAAATTGGAATACATTTGATCTGTGCACGTACTTGAAGAGTCCTAGAAAACCCTGCTTCTACCTTGACTGTCACTAATAATAGTGCCTTACTTTCTGGCAGACAAAGAAAAGACCATCAACTGATTTCATGGAAACGATTCAAAAAGATGTCAACCCAAGCATGAGGGCAATTTTGATAGACTGGCTCGTGGAAGTAAGATTTTTCTGCTAAACATAAGAAAAGCCTAAAGAATAATCTTGTCAACTTTAGCGTTGTATTAATGATTTTTCCTCGTGCAGGTTGCTGAAGAATATCGTCTTGTTCCTGATACTTTGTACCTGACAGTTAACTACATCGACCGTTATCTTTCTGGCAATGAAATCAACCGCCAAAGGCTGCAATTACTTGGTGTTGCTTGCTTGCTTATAGCTGCGTAAGATTCTGTTACTCATTCACTTTACTTCTTTCAGTTATCCTCAGTTATCATTACGCTGTTGGCATACTGACTTTGACGTGTTGGAAACTTCAAATTCAGAAAATACGAGGAGATCTGTGCACCCCAAGTAGAAGAATTCTGCTACATAACAGACAATACATACTTCAGAGATGAGGTTTGTGATATGTTTGTTCCCGATCATTCTTTAAAGAAAAATACAGTATCTGATAGTCCTTTGTTTGCCATCGTCACTGAATGACTTGTACGTTTAAAGGTTCTAGAAATGGAAGCTTCGGTGCTGAATTACTTGAAGTTTGAAATGACAGCACCTACAGTAAAGTGTTTTTTGAGGTGCTTCCTTATCTATTTCATTTTAGTAAAATTAATTATACTGATCTAACTTGCCACTAACTCTTTTCTTTTTTGCTTACAATAGGAGATTTGCTCGTTCTGCACAAGCGTGTGATGAGGTACTGCCACATAGCCAGCTAATGGTTACTGGAAGGAATTCCTTCATAAATTACATATATGACAGGAGTTCACTGATAATTTCTCTTTGTACAGGATCCTGCTTTGCATCTCGAGTTCCTCGCCAATTACATCGCTGAGCTATCCCTGCTGGAGTACAATCTACTCTCCTACCCTCCATCACTAATAGCTGCTTCGGCTATTTTCTTGGCGAGATTTATACTCCAGCCAACAAAGTATCCTTGGGTAGGTGGCATAATCATAATGCTGTTTCCATACATATCTTTGTAGCAGTTGCCTAATGAAATGTCTTAGGAGCTAACTTACACATCCCATTGTCAACTGGAAACAGAATTCCACACTTGCTCATTACACACAGTACAAGCCGTCGGAATTGAGCGGCTGCGTAAAGGCACTGCACCGCCTTTTCAGCGTTGGTCCTGGGAGCAACCTTCCAGCAATCAGAGAAAAGTACAGTCAACATAAGGTAAGTGGACCTGGTCCTGAACTTCTTCAGCTAACAACTCTGTTATTAGTACTAATTCCATCCTCTCCTTTTCCTTGCTCAGTACAAATTTGTTGCAAAGAAGCAGTGTCCGCCACAAATCCCTACTGAATTCTTCAGGGATGCGACATGCTAGACTAGAAGGCCCAGCGGTAGTTCCAGTTGCTTACTGAATTCTTCCTGATGTGGCTCTAGTTCCAGTTGCTTACTGAATTCTTCCTGATGTGGCTCAAATGCCCAGTGTAGCACCTGCACACTTGTGCAGGTGGGGTTAGTTGATGCAGGACGTGCTGATGACCCCCGTTTGTGGTCATGTTAGAGCATTGGTGTGGGTTTTTTTTCTCTCCTGCTTCTTGCTGTAATCTTCCTGTATCTAGACCAATGTCTGCAGGCGCATGTAAATCGGAGCTGTGTAGTAGAGCATAACATCTCGTTTGTAATGCCATAAAACTGACTGGGAGTCACAGTCACTTGAAGCATGGCTCCCTTGGACAGTAAGAGCACAGATTGTTTTTTTGAACTTGTAAGAGCACCAGATTTTGGTAGTGCTCATTCTGAATAATCCATTGCTCTGTCCCTTGTCCTAGAAGAATTCTACACACTGACGCAGAGTCGAAGTTGCATCTTCCATTTGCTTAGGCAAATTTGCCTTAAGATATACTACGTGTTTCTTTGGAGGTGAAGAAATGAGCGAGATTGCAGGAGCTTGGAGACACCACAGAAACCACTGACAGGAAGAGAAGAGAAGAGAAGAGAAGAGTGGTTGGTCTCTCAACAAAAACACACTAGACGGAATGGAAGATGCGTAACACAAACAAAAGGACCCGACACGGCGAATCAAATGTATCTCGACGAATATATATCCATCCATTCCAAATCCAGAGCGCGGAAAATTTGGGCCATGTCCCTCTCAGTTCATTAGTACTTCAGCATTTCTGCCAGGTCAAGCAATTACTGCAGCTGGAGCCACCATGTTTATATTTATTTATATTAGACGCGCATAACTACGTGTAATGCAATTAACTTGAACAGATATATCGACTAAATTCAATTTAATTAAAGATGGTGGCATGCCAGCTGCGTGATGAGTATACATACATACATACTAGGGTTAACATCGACAGAGACCGTAGTATCTTCTAGTTAGTGTCACAGCACAGCGCTTCCAGACAATAATCCTAGCTGGTACGGTACTCAATCGAAATTTCAAGTACTGTGCCTTCGTAAGCAATGAACACGCAATGATTCATATGGGATTTGGTTATGATGGATGCTTAATCCATTATTATTTATATTGTTGCCTATATGCTATGGATCCACGATCGATGTCCAATCACCATTGATGGCTACTAATGTATATAAGGAACAGCTAGAGGAATATTACTTGTATAGCTGTATACAACTATACATATTGCCACCTTCAGATATATATAACGAACAGCTAGCTCAATCTTGGTAGAGAAAACATTCTTCTACTACTATATATGTTGGATCTGATCAGTGATATGTGTCCAAATATTTTTCGCGACCGGGGAATATAGCCCGTTTATCATTAAGAAGAAGAGAATTACACGACACAGCTACGAGAGAACACTCATAGCACAGATTACAAACCACGAAGGTAGTAGTGAGTAACCTGAGATACAACTTATAAGAGCATGAAAAAAAGGAGAAAATAAGAAGTGACTGCCCTCGAAACCTAGAACCTACAAACTGGGCTTGTAAAAAAAGATACAACAGCGCAATGGTTGCCTATGAACAAGACAATGCCACGGTGGCAACCTATCCACCCAAAGCAGCAGCGGCGGCAAAGCATCCGCCAACGAAGACCACGGCGGTCAAATATCCGCCAAAACGTCCACTGCAGCAAAGCATCCGCAGGGGGAACGGCCATGACACACTCGGCAGCAAAGCATCTGCCAGAGCGAAGGCCAGCGACAACGGCGGCAAAGCATCCGCCAGAAGAACGATAACGGCAAAGCATCCGCTATGAGAGCCAGACGACGACGGCAAGGTCAATTGTTGCAGGAGAAACCATTGCGAGTAGAACATAGGTGCATACAGGCACAGCGAGGAACTCCACCACAAGCCGACGACACGGAAGGAGGCAAAGAGATTCTTCAGCGACGCCTTCAGGAAGGACATGACGCCCAAATATAAGATTATATGCCTGAATCTGAGTATGTGTGAGGAAATGTGGAGATATGACTACACAACAGCTCCCATTATTAATTTATTATTGTGACAGATGAAGAACTAAATCATTTGCATTGCATCCAACAATGATCTGATGAATGTTACTAATGAACAATTGCTTCTCTGCAGTCTTGCATAGTTTCTTAGAAAATTGTGCCAATATATAATACACTTCAGACATACGGTGGCTATGCTGATTTGCACCCAACAATGATCTGATGAAAGTTCTGATGTTTATCCTAAACCAGGAAAAAGTATAAATTTGCCCACTAAGTCTTGATTCCGAATTTTTAATAAAGAAAAAAAAGTAATCTTATCTCACGGTTGAGTGTCCATCCGTAACAAGTAACTTGACTTGGAAAATTTGATTCTGAAGACGGCTGAATGGCTGATCAGTCTACTTTGCAGGGATCGAAGCGGAAGCTAGCTGTTTCTGACCTAATTGCACACTGGAATTAGAAACACAGAGCATCATGGTCAGCTGGATTATGCGCCAATATACTCAAGCATAACCTGCTGCTGGCTGCTGACTCAGAATAGTTTTCTTGTTGGTTGAGAGGTATGCATGCACTGTTTTTTTTTCTTTGAACGAAAAAAGGTATCCATGCATGTACTATCACTGAGCTGAGGTGAGCTGAGCTGGCCTTCACATACCTGCTGGCTCAGTGGCTCATCATCATACAAGCAATATATATACAATTAAATAGGTGACAGCGAATTGCCAAGTGGCCACAGTTTTTGTCATTCAAGACAAGCAGGCAGAGTAGCTACGCAATTTAGCTGGTCTTCCTACCTTGAGTTGTACACTATTATTGAGTATTATGTAGTAGTATGCACGTATTTCACTGGCTAGAAACAAGAATACTCCTACTACTACGTACATAAACAAATATCTGAATGGTTGGTACATACATACTGTGCGTCTATGTACATGTGAACTACATAGGTTGTTGGAGAGCATCGTGCAAGCATACGACAGGCGCACCAACTTCGTAGCATATACTCCCTCTCTCCCCAAAAGAATGCAATTCTGGAATAGAGTCATATGTTAGTATATCAACTTTAACCAATTATAGATAAAAAGTATAAACATTTATAATATTAAATAAATATCATTAGATTAATTACGAAGTGTATTTTCATAATAGATTGATTTGAAGTCATAAATGTGAATATTATTTACTAAAAACTTGGTCAAACGTGAATCACTTTACGTGGTACGTAACCCACAGTTGTATTCTTTCACGGACGGAGGCAGTACATAACCTGCATTTATGATGTCACATATTTTAAATTTAAGACCAAAAACGAAACAGTAGGGATAATTGAAAGACTAAGATACAGATACTCCCTACCAAAATAAATTAACTTCTATAATCACACATATAGTCAAACTACTGGCCAACTTTATAAAAAAATTAACAACATCTATAGCACCAAATTAGTTAGCGATCTATCTAGTATTACTAACTAATTTGGTCTCATGAATATTAGTGTTTTTTAATAAATTTGATCAGGTTTAAATTTGTTTGATTTTGAACAACTCTAGAAAATTGATTTATTTTGGAACCGGTGAGTAGTACTAGCTATGATATATAGAAGTTGATTTTGAACAACTCTAGAAGTTGCAACTGCTTAGTTTTACTAATCCTAATATAGTACTAATCGTCGATGTACTACAAGAGTTTAGTCACAAAAGAATGAAAAAAAAGAAACTCTGGAAATGAAGAGACCAGTCCCCCCCCCCCAAATTTGGACAGGCATGGCGATGGAAGGCAGTGTTCGGCTGGCTCGCTGGCTGACGAGTTAACTCATGAAATCACTGTTCACGTCCTGTCAGAATAGTATTTTTCTTTCACAATAATCAACCAGTATTTTTCAGTTCTGCCGAACAGACCCGAAGCAGGCGACGCGGACGTGGCAGGCCCCTCGCTTTGTCTGGTGATGAGCAGTGCAGTGCTGTCTGTCGCCTACCCCGCATACAGTTCGTACATGTCCACTTGGAAAAAGGAGAGCGCTGTCAGGGCTGGTACATGTACCCCTCATGCCAGCGTGTCATCATCCTTGCACACCTAGGCTACCACCTTGTACTACAACTACGTTACACTAAAATCAACGTCTCGTTCGCTTGATTTATAAGCCATATTTTTCATATAATAAATAATATTTTTTTCTCACAATAAATTAATCAATAGTATTTTCAGTCATGACTTATCAGCCAAATGAACAGGGCACACTTCCCTAGACCCCTTGGAAGCACAAGATTTCAATAGATGATGATGCAAATTTGATTCCAAATTGGCTGTGTTTAGTTGGTGTACTTTAATTTCTACCCTGCCATGTAAACAGTATTATAGTGGCTGGGTTTTCAAAGGCATGTTTGATACGCTGGTGCCAATAGTTACCAGCTAAAATCTATATTAATGGATCTAAACAAATATGTTAATAAATAACTAGTTATTAGCTAGAGGATTGCTACCTATTAGTTTCATTATTAACAGGTTTTGTGCCGCTAATATGTGCTAAAAGGTGGCATCATCTTAATAGGTGGATCCAAACAGTTTTTTGCTAATACAAGCTAGATAACTATTAACTATTTCCTACGTCACAAAATAAATCAACTCCTAGAATTAATCCCAAGTCAAAATATCTCGAGTTCGACTAAATTTTAGAGTATAAAAATATATTTCATATAGTGTATCTAATAATACTAATTTGATGTTACAAATATCAATGCTCTTTAGTCTAACTTAAAATACGAGTAATCAATTTTATTTAAAAGCACTTTACAAATTATAAGTTGATTTATTTTGGAACAATCCAACAGACCGCACAAGGATAGATAAACTTGTGGTAGAATCAAATCAAAATCGACTTTTCTGTGATTGACCGGGCAGTTGCTTCTTCGAGGAGCTCACGCTACTTCCCTAAGGTAGGACC